TAGGGACCCCTTCCCATTTTGCATCACTGCCTGGTGGGCTAGACTTCTCTTAGCCACCAGAGGGCACTCTTAAATTCATAAGGCCCAGCACAGCATCCTGCCTTTGTTCCAACTTCATGGTCAAGTTTCCTGTTGCCTTAAAACAACCTTTCATTTTCCTAAAAGACTCTTATTTGTCTACTCATTTACCTTCTGATTTCCCCACTACTGTCCCACTATCTCTGAGCTCAGAAAACTTTATTATATAACACTGATCTCTATTTCTCCCGTTTCTAAAGCCATGCCTAGCACAAGACAGGTGCCCCATGCATTCTATACAGCTGCTGTATCAAATGGCCACAACCTTAGTGGATTAACACTCTATGAGTGTATTATCTTATAGTCCTGGAGGTCGGAAGTCCAAAGTGGGTCTCACACAACCTAAATCAAGGTGTGAGTAGAGCTAGTTCCTTCTGAATCTTTAGGGGAGAATGTATGTTCTTGCCTTTCCCAGCTTCTGGAGGCCAAGTTTAAAAGGGATGGAATTCATCCTTTCCTGCATTCTTCCCAGACAGAAGGAGGAGGCCTTGACAGTTTAGGATGGATGGATGAGGATGTAGGACTAGAAACATTCAGCTTCTTCCTGTCTATGTGTTAAATCCCAACTCAGTCACTGATTAGCTAGAGTCAATTGCTTATTGTTTCTAAGCCTCAATATTCCCATCTGTGAAATGGGAATGAAATTGACTGTTATTTATTGAGCCCCAGCTATATCACCTGAGTTAAAAATCCCAGTTACCGCCTTTATTTGCCTTGGACAAAGAGTATAACATCTAGATTTCCTTTTTTGTTTTTTTTAGACAAGGACTCACTATATAGTTCAGGCTGGCCTTGAACTCACTATGTAGCCCGTGGTGGCCTTGAACTCCCAGTGATCCCCCTGCCTCAGCCTCCCAAGTGCTGGGGTTATAGGCTTGCACTACCACACCTGGCTAGATTTCCTTTTGGTGAAATAGGGTTAATGATAGTGGCTGATACACTACCTGTGTACATACACTATTGTATTTGGATTAAATGAGAGGGTATATGCCATCTACAAATTCAATGGAATCGTGTATAAAGAGCACAGTTTCTAATAGTGCTTGGAACATGGTAATACTCAACAAAAGAAAGATCTGTTATTATTTTTCCTATTTCCAATTTTCCTCCTCTTCTTTTGCTTTCTCATCACCCAGTTTTATCTGATGTCCTTGTTACACACTTATATATTTTTCCCATGTGTAATTCATCTGTTAACCCAATTTCAGACTCACCAAGTTTTTTGTTATAAAATTGTACATAATATGGATGCTTTATTAATATTGGTTTCTTCTTTTAGGCCTTCTAATTATCTCCCTGACTTCCAGGGTGGTTTCAAAGGCCAGGGCTCCTGGTTTCTCTTCTTTCTTCCATTTAGAAGTCCCCACCCTGATACTGAGGATTGAACCCTGGGTGTGCTGAGCTAAATACTTATTTATTTATTTATTTATAGATGGGGTCTCACTAAGTTGCTCAGGCTGCCCTTGCATTTGAAATCCTCTTGCCTTAGTCTCCCAAGTAGCTAGGATTACAAACCTGCACCACCAGGCCCAGGCCAGAGGTCTTTCTGAGACACTATCAATAGCCAGACCCTTGAAAAAGGAGGAGAAGCTTCCTTCCTTCCAACTCTTTCTCTTTCCATGCACTAGAAATGAAAATATCCAAGAAGAAATGTCTATTATTTTACCCCGATACTGAAGGCAGCAGGGATGTGCACATTTCTGCCTCCGTGTCTGCATGACTTGTTATCAGAAAATTAGAGTAGAAAAGAAGCTTTTGTGCAGCTACAGAGACATCTTAATAGCTGCTTTGATTGTTAAACAGAAGTTTCTGTATCGGTTTAATTGCTGTAAGTGTTATTTGCCTTCTCTGTTATGATAAGGCCTCCATTCCCATAGATTTTTCCCCCTTCCATTTCAACAGTTTTCCTTTGCTCTAAGACTTGCATTGGCAAGTTTAATGAAATCCAAACAAAGAAAGTAAAGAGAGGATCTCCAGGTTCAAGACTATACACCCACATAGGAAGCAGTCCAAAGGTTGTTACAGCCTTAGACTAATGATGCTCCAGCCACTTCGTGTAATTGGCAGAATTCACCACTTCATCCAGATATTGGGAAATGAAACCAAATTACCAAACTTAATTATATCTACTTTTTTTAAGAAGGTGATGTAATTGAGAGTAATAGGATAACTAGGATATGAATCTAACAGTGAGATGTGCTTGTAATAAAGAGTGTTTGTTCTCTGCTCACTTGAGCCTCAGGAGCTCCAGGTGGGGTTTTAAACTTTTTAAAAGTTCTTTTTTCTTTCTAGGTGGAGGGGATGGTGATGCAGGTCAGGAAGGAGTTAGCTAGAGAAAAAGGGAAACATTTCTATCAGATTTCTCAACCTTGAAGCTATTGACATTTGGGGCCAGTGACTTCCTTGTTGTATGGGGTGGGGGGGTTCTGTTCTGAGTCTTATAGGATGTTGAACAGTGTCCTTGGCCTCAACACTCTCCCCTCCCCCCACAAAATGCCTCCAGACACTGCCAAATGTCTCCTGTAGGGTAAAAGCTCTAGTGGTTAATAACACTGGTGTAGTGGTTCCCCGAAGACTTTGGAATAATTGCAGTTGCTTCTTGAGATTCTGCTGGTGCCTGGTTGTCAGAGGTCACTGCCCCTCACTGAGCTCCTTTGTCTTCCATTGTACAACCAGAATACTGATAGCATCAGTCACACAGAGACATAGCTTCCAGGATTAAAATGCACAGCATAATGCCTAGCACATACCAAGTGATCAATAAACTGAGTATTTCTGTTATAATAATCTTGGACTCAGCAAACACGTATTAAATACTTACTCTGCTCCAGACACATGCTACAAAGTAGTAATGGGAAGATGGAGGTGTGGTTCTTACATTTGCAGAGGTGGCAAGTACCAACCTACTGGTATGACCTTGTTCTTCACTCATGGCAGACATTGCTAGTCAATCTCAGTGCTCTTTCCAATCGAGCCTCGGAACCCTTCTCAACACAACTCTCTAATCACCCACTACTTGTGGCCCATGTGTCGCTCCTGACTTTGTAGATTGCTCATGAGGAGGCCACCCCTTCCTCTCCAACAGAACCTGTAGCAATTAACAGGCAGTATCTTTCCTCTTGCATCTGATTTCAGCCCTCAAAGGAGGTAGGAATGGGGAAAAATGCTCTTTAACATTTTTATTCATTTTTCTTTCTTGTCTTTTTCATTGGCCTCAGAAAGTGAACCAAGCAGTCAAATGGGCTTTGGGCTTGATGACATCCAGTTTTTAGTTAAACTAGAGGAAATTCCACAGGCTATAACTCTCACTGGCAGATCACGCTGTCTCTTTCTTGAGTTTTCTCTGCCCTTTTGGGCTTCAAAAAGTATTAGCTCTCCCTGGAAGGGTCCCACTTTACAAGAGCAGAATTGGGGTTTCTGAAAACAGCTTTCCGATGGCAGCCGACAGTGTCATTGACAGAAGAGAGGAGTGTGTGGGCTGGGGTTAAAGGCTCCCTGATCAGTTCTGACATGCTCGACGCCTGGACTAGAGCACCACTCCATAACAATTGCTGCGAAAAATGAGGCGTGCACCTGCAGCCCTGAAAGCAGGAGCTGCCTCCATCCATCTGGCCTGAGAAATGAGAGCTGGCGTGTGGGTCAGCCACTTGCTTCCTCTCGCCCTGTCTGGTGGAGATGGCGCTGGCAGCACTAGTTCATTTCTGCTGTTGTTTCACACCTCTGCTGGCCAGCGAGGTCTGTGGGGAGGCTGATGTGGACGGCTGGGCAGTGGAGTGGGGTGAGGGCTGAGCAGTGAGGGAGTGGCCATGTAGTTGGCTGAGATTTAGCCTGAAGCATGAAAAGAAGGCCAGACAAGGACAGTCATCTTGGCTGAAGTCTGCGTGTCTTATTGTTTCTTTGTCTATTCCTATTTAGCCATCGATCCACCCACCTATCCATTCATCCATCCTACCATCCATTCACCTAACCCACCTACCTATCCATCCATATACTCAACTATCCATCCATCCACCCACCTATCCATCTATCCATCCATATAGCCACCCTCCTAACCCACTCACCTATCCATTCATAAATTCACTTATACATTCATACCACCTATACATCCATCCATCCATCCATCCATATACCCACCCACCTATCCATCCATCCACTCATGTATGTGTTAATCCATCCATCTATCCACCCATCCATCTGCTTATTCTAGCATGACCAGGTGGCATATAGTTGGACATTCTAAAAATGTACAATATACAGAAAATGATATGGATTCCCATATAGACGTTGATCTTAAAACAAATGTATTTAAGCAAAAACATGGAGTCAGCTTTAGAAATATTAGCTAAATGACTTCATGGGTTGTACTGAGGCATGGTGAAAACTGGAAGAGTGGTACAATACCAGCAGCACAGCAGGCATTTGGAACCCACCACGTTATGACTTTGCACACAAGAGCACAGGGTCTAAAGTCCCTCAAGCTCGGATTCACAGCTCTGTGTAGCCTATGAGCTATATGACCTCAAGTACGTGACTTTCCCTGTTCACACCTCGGTTTCCTCATCTGTATGGTGGGGAACTTGGCAGTCCCTATACTTGAGGTTGTTTTTAAAGGATATAGCCAGCTAAGTCATGTGAGTCGCTCAGCACATGCCTAGCACATGTTAAGTGCTATGTAAAATGGAAGGGATGCCCAATTCTTTAATCTTTTCACAGCTGGTTTCTTTGAAGGCCTCTCCTGCCTGCCCTGCCTAGGGGACCTTGGGTGAGTTGAAGTGACAACCTAAACGATTGTTCTATTTGACTTGGCTTAGCAAAAAACAATTGGTGTCCTTCCTGAGAATAGCAAGCCTCCCCTTTCCTTCCAGCCTGTCCAGCCTCTGAGCCATTGGGTAACAAGCTCCTCTGCTCTTCTTTCTCTGCAGACACACTGTCAGTGCCGCGCTGGTCCCCACAGATCCCTCGCAGAGACCTCGGCAACTCCATCAAGCACAGGTAGGCTGGATTCCTGTGTGTTCGACTGCCTTCGCCCCAGCCCAGCTCTATATCACTGTGAGTCTCTCTCCTCTGCCAGCCAAACGTCAAAGTGGCAGCTGGGGGACCAAGACAAGACATCTCTATCTTCTAAACCTTGCCTTATCGAATAGCACATAGTAGTTAAAAGCCAGGGATTTGGAATCAGACTGACCCATGTTTTCCATCCTAGGTAGGAAAGCTTTGCAACCTTGAGGAAGTTACCTAACCTCTCCAAGGCTCCATTTTTTAATCAGATAATTCTGCCTACCTATAAGGTAGTTGTGCAGATTAAATGAACTAATATATGTAAAGTACTTAGAGCCCACACATAATAAGCACTCAGTAAAGGGCATCATTGTTAAGTGCTTTATGTCCTAATTTGGGGGCTTCTCACCCACAAAACAAGACAGCAGGCTACATTCAGTGGTGCTTGTTCTCTGCAGAGGTGTGGATCAGTCCACAGCCCCCCTCCCCCTGGAGAAATAGGACACTTTCCCTAGGATTATACCTGCCCTTGTTAGGAAGGGGCTTTGGCTCAACGGCTCATCTCTGTGAGAAGTTCTTTAATGTTTCTCATTTGACTTCCACACTTCGCCTCAGTCCCCTCACATTCCCACCAGCTCAGTGTGGTTAAGTGCGGATGCCCCTGCCTCTTTGACAGATAAGGAAACCAAGGCTCTGGAAGATTAAGCAATGGCCCTAGAAACTAATTTTCCTCCTCATTTTGTGCCTTGCTCTCAGCGAGTATTCTGTGCCCTGGGGCCCTGTGAACTGGCTGAGGGCTGGCTCAGTCATTCATGGATTCTTTTCTCTGGGATTTGCAGGGTTTCTGTGCCCAGGTTACAGCACTGAGCAAGAGGCAAGCCCTGGGTGCTGGGGCAGCTGGCTGGCTAGGAGCGGGGCACTTAACAGATCATGACAGTACCAGAGGGGCAGGGTGACAGGGGAGGAATGCCAGGGGCGGCACAAGCCACAGCCCAGGGCAAGGCGGGAATGAGTGCTCTCCCCGGTGGCATCTTGTCAACAGCTTTTGAAAGAAGGATGTTGACAGGAAAGGTATTAAAACTCTAATGAGAAAACGTTGAAGGAAGCAGTAAAAACTGTGCCATAGACACATCAGTGGTCAGGATGTCAGCTACAGAGAGACAGGTATCAAAGACGCGGGCCTTTTTGGGCTGTTTACTTCCTTCCTGCACCCTGATTCTTCTCCAACCCTAGGTAAGCCATGCTGCTGATTTGGGGGCAACCCTGGGTTGGTCCCACCCCTAGATCAGCTCCTCCTCTGATTGGCCACACCTATGTTTCAGCCACACCCCCATCTCTTCTCCACCCTTGAGTTGCGCACACCTGGCTCAGCCGCCTACCTGGATTAGCCACACCCCTAGTTTAGTTCTTCCCTTGGATTTACCAAGCTCCTGGTTCAGCTGTATTGCTGGGTGGGCAGTGCCCTTGGCTCAGCACTACCCTGTGCATAAGTCCCATCCCCAGGCTTTCTCACCCTAACACTGGCACCTGGTGGCTTCTTAGCTTCAGAGGCGGGTGCCCAGAGGAGGGAAACAACCTGACCATCTTGCTGGAGGAGCCAGGACTCGGGATGACCTGTTACTCTTCAGTCCTGCCCTGTGTTCCTCTCCGGGCTCAATGCCAGACTCACCCAGCCTTGGCAAAAAAATGAAATTAAAATCTCATTCCTTGTATCAGTCACATCAGCCAGAGCCAGGGAAGAAGGAGAGTTGACCCTGAGGATCGAAGAGGGCTGGAAAGGAGGAAAAACTGCCACCAGCACGCCCATCTGCCCTCTGCTGCTGTGCTGCGGGCTGGGGGTGAAACCCATGCCCCTTCACCATCCCCCAGGGCTACACATCCTGCAGAACACACCCTGCTAACCTTGCTGACCCTGCCGAGGGGATCCAGAGGGGATTAAGCAACCCCCAGATCTAAAACCAGAGAGGGAGCTTTTTTTGGCAACCAGCATCTCTGCTCAGAATATTGCTATTTGCTTAGCTATGGAGGCTTTGAGCTGTGGCTCATTCTGTTTGGAGAGGGACTGACCCAGATCTGGCAAGATGGCACAGCAGAGGGAGCCAGACTTCCCCTCAAAATGCTCAGTCTCCAAGTTATGTAAGCACTTCCGATTTCCCTTTTGACACCTCAAAGCAGTGGAGATTTGATACAACTCCTGCGGATGGTGGCACAAATTGAAAATTAAAATTAACTGTGACCTGGCAACCTTCAATACTTTTCTTGGGTCCAGCCCTGCTGCTGCCTCCTGTCTCAGGAGAAAAAAATCACTCAGCAACACAGGGGAGGGCACCCAGGGAGTTAATCTAATGTACGTCTACTCACGCTGGTGATAGCTATATGTGGGAGACCCCCAAAACCCTTATACTGGCAGCAAGTTGGGGTGGTTTGGGAGGGAGATGAGCTCATGGTCAGAAAAGGCTTTCACTTTGGGGGACTTTTCTCTGCTCCTGAAGTTTGGTTCTCTGCTATTTAGGTTTGGAGTCTCGGCTCTTTGGGAAGGAGGGATCCCTATTGAAGCTCCTCAGGTGACAGGTGACAGGTGACATGCCTAGGAGTGATGGGGAATGGCTCAAGTGGGAGACCCCATCTGACTTTGTGGCTCTCTGATGGCAGTGCCAGCCCTATCAATTGCTCTGTCCCATAACAGAACGTGGCACATTGTAGGCCACTAGGAAATATATGTCCAATGAACAAGTGACTGTTATGAATGTTCAAGATAGTAATATAGTCTTTGCCAATTCATTGAGCACTTACTATGTGCCAGGCTTGTGTGAAGATTTTAACTTGCATGGGCTTGTTTAATCCTCCCAACAACATATGAGGTAAATGCTATTATTCCTCCTACTTTACAGACAAGGAGACTGAGGATCCTTGTGGTTTATGCAACTTGACTAGGTCATCTATCTTGAAAGAAGCAAGACTAGAATCCAGGGCAACACAGGACAATCCAGGGCAATACTCCCTCTCTAAATGGCGCACCCTCCTGGAGATGGGTCAGTTGCTATTACCTTAATCCTGAATATTTCCTATCTCTTTTCTGCAGGTTTTCCACCAAGTACTGGATGTCTCAAACATGCACAGTGTGTGGGAAAGGGATGCTTTTTGGCCTCAAGTGTAAAAACTGCAAGTAAGTGGCTGCATCTCAAAGTGACTTGTTGCAGAGCCTGATTTCAACTAGAGCCATACAGGGAGGCTCTGCCATAGCTCATGCACATTTAAGTTGTTGACTCATGGGAGATCTTTTTGCTTTGCATTTTAGAAACAGGTCCTAAATGAACCTCTGTTTTTGTGTCGGGGGCCACGAAGAGCAATTTTGAGTAAGAACCAGAGCTGATGGAAGATGGTAAAAGTGCATAATGCTATTCGCTGGGGCTCACATTTTTATAGCGTGGGAGATCAGGGCTAGGTGACTTTTTCTCTAGCTGACCAGGTAGTAAATATTTTAAATTTTGTAAACCAAAGGGTCGCTGTTGCAGCTACTCAACTCTGCCCCCTGTAGCTGAAAAGCAGGCATAGATAATACAGAAGCAGACCAATTAATTAAAAACAGGCTGCAGGCTCACTTTGGCCTGTGGCTTCTGATCCCTGAGTTAAAAGTTTGCAGTCTTTTCTCATCTATTCTCTCTTCTCACAGCATCTCTTAAGGAGTGTTATAATTTCCCCCATTTTACAGATATGAAAGCTAAGTCTCAGCAAAGAAGGTCACAGCTAGGAAGTAGCAGCCGGGGCTTGAACCCAGACACCAAACTCCTCTTATATTCATTTTCTGTGATTTTATCTTGGCATTGAGCTCTGATGGGAAGGCTGTACTGCCTCTATATGCCTATCCCAGGCCACAGATAGCAGAAAGGAGGGAGAGATGCAGGAGAAACTACGAATAAGATGTCACAGTTGGTAGCTGTGTGACCTTGGACAAGTTACCTCACGTCTCTGCCCCTGGTATTTTCATCTGTGTGGAAAGAATATTAATCGTATCTGCCTCAGGTGCAGTGAGCATTCAAGAAAGCAACACACTGGGTACACAGCACAGTCCCTGGCTCCGAGTTCAGTCCTCTGTGAAGAGTTACCAATGCCTTTCTGTCTGGCCTCTCTTTCCCCTTCTGTAAACATGTATTAAATAACCCCTCAAGTCCAATTCCTATAAAAGAGCCAACAACATTCAACAGTATGTCAAAGCTACATGGGTACAATAGAATGTGCATGTTTGCTTTGTAGGAGCTACTCAGTTTAGAACATTTGAATATCACATGTTTTCTCTCATATGTGGAATAGTTTTTAAAAAAACAGATATCATGAAAGTAGAAGGGAGACTAGTAGAGGAGGGGAGGGGAACAAGGAAGGTGAAGGGAGAGGGAAGGCAAAGGAGGGGAACAGGTGAAATGATTCAAGTATGTTAAATGCATATATAAAGCTCATTAATCATCATTACTAACATGCGTTAATAAAAAGATTCTAGGAATCCCTCTTTCCCCTCTAGCCTTGATCTTCCTGCCTAGCCCAGGCAGAGAGCTCTCATTTGGGACTCCTCAGGCCTCCTCACATCTCTGCCTTGTGATGGATGTGGGGGTAGCAGCAGGGGGGAGCCCCCCATTCAACCCCAGTCTCACCTGAGTAATGAAGCTAAGGCTGAGCTCCCATCCCTCCTGGAGTTGTTAGGGTTAATTGGTTCCAACCCCTAAGGAGCCTTAAGCTCCATGGTGGTGGGGGAGAGGGACCAGTGATTACCGTGGGTTAGCACGGTGATGCTGCCATCCCACCATGGTCCCCGATGGAGCCAGGTTCTCCAGGGTCCCCTGGTTTTCCTGACTCCAGGAGACACAAGGCCAGGCCCTCGGGTCTGCCTCACCTGCTGTCTGACTGCCCCTGTACATGGGCCAGGGAGACCTGTCTCATCTCTCTGGGGGGGAAATGGCAGCTTTCACATCCTTACACCTGCTGCGTGGAGACTTTGAAGTCAAGTAATTAGGTGGCAGGGATGCAGCCAGGAGTCAGCAAGGCTGAACATTTCCCAAGCCGTTTCAATTTGCAGCACTGGAGGCGGACCTCAGGGCAGTCTTGGCCCTGGTGCTCTCTGTTCTAGAAGTAATGAGCAAGAGCAGGTGGGCTGCCCAGGGTGGGGAGGGGAGGCTGGGGTGGGCTGTCAGGAGCACCAGTTTGGAAGCAGCCAGAGCTGGAGTTTGGGTCCCAGCTCTGTCACTGAACTCCCAGTGTGAGCCTGAGCTCTTAAGTGGTCTGTCGTCTTGGGCTTAGTTTTCTCATCTGCATAGTGGGCAAGATATTAGTGCCCACCCCAGGACTATCATCAGCCCAGATTACAATATTTTATCCAAGAATATTCCTTCCACTCTGTCTTGTGCAGAAATAGCCCCTGGCATAGAGGAGGCATAGTTCCAAATCAAGCCATGACTGGATTGCACCAGCAACCTCACCCGTTTGCTCAGCCCTTAGAAAACCCAGCCAAGCAGTGAAAGCAGCTGCTGTAAAGCTCCGGAATGCTTCAGGGTCTTAACATTGTACTTATATCAACTACAACAGAATTTAGAGCTATTTCCAGTATATAATTATGAGCATACGTTCCTGAAAGCAGTTAGAGTTCAAAGTTACTCTCCTGTAAATAAAATCCTGCAATGTTTACACTGATTAACGTGAGGATGGATGGCGACTGACATGTGTTTGCAAAGACTGACAAAATTGTAGATCACTTATGGATGATAGGTTTGGATGAGGGATAGAAGTGAGTAACACACAGACGCGACGGTCAAGGAGTTAAGAAGAGGGAAGCACATTGTAGAGAAATGAATTTCAGAGAAAGTGAAGTGTGTGCAGAAAGAACAGCCGCAGGTGATATTTTAGAGTTGGCACCAAGAATGGAAAGGCAGCTTCTTAGAAACAATGGCAGAACCACGTGTTCACTTGTGCAACTATACTACTACAGGCTGAGTATCCCTTATCCTTGTGAAAAATGCTTCAAACAGGAAGTGTTTTCAGGTTTCAGATTTATTGTGATTTTGGAATATTTGCATGTAAACGATAAGGTATCCTGAAGATGGGACCCAAGTCCAAATATGAAATTTATTTATGTTTTGTATCCACTTACACACATAACCTGAAGGTACATGACTGCATGCAATGTTTTAAGTGCATATGCGTTTTGACTATAGTCCATCATCACATGAGGTCAGGTGTGGAATTTTCCACCAGTAATATTCAGTTGGCGCTCAGAAAGTTTTGGATTTGGGGCCATTTGGGAGTTTAGATTTTTTGACTAGAGTTGCTCAACTGTAATATATTAATATTACACCAGGAACTCTTCCAAGTGCTAAGAAAGCAACAGGGACTAAAACAGACAACAGACCTGGCCTGGTGGAATTTATCCGCTGGTGGGGCATGGTGGGGTGGGAGGTAGAGAGACAGTCAACAAAGTAAATTAGCTCAAATAGATCTTGTGATCAGATGGTGTCAATACTAAGCAGAAAAAAATGAAACAAAGAAGGGAAATAGGAAGAACCAGGATAGGGGCTGCAATTTTAATTAAATGGATCAGGGAAGGTCTTCTGACTGAGTTAGAACACTGGAAAAGTAGGAGTGTGGGGTCCAGGTCATTTCCTGTCTTTCTAAAGCAGCCCAGAGACATAGATTTGAATCTTCCCAGAAGGGAATGATTTTTTTTTTAATCTGAGCAATGCTGTTTGGTGAGTGTCTGAAACCCCTGAGTGACAAGGATTGGATTGGATGGTGCTCCCCAGAACAGCTGCATGAGCACATCCTGAGAGGTGGTTAGAAATGCATAGTCTCAGGCACTACCCTGGACCTACTGAATCCAAACTGGCATTTTAACAGGGTCCCGGTCAGCAGGAAGTGTAAGAAGCACCGCTTGAGTGCTCTTCCATAGCTTTTCTTTTACATTATGGGTTTCCAGCTTGAACATGCACCATAGTGCTCTGTAGGGTTTGCTAAAACACAGATTCCTGGGCTCCCCGCCCCAGAAACTCAGAGCCAGTAGCTCTGGGGTGGGTCCCCAGAATGTGCCTTTGCAGCAGGCTCTCGGGATGCTGATCTGCTAGTCTTGGGACCCCACTTTGAGAAACATTAGAGGAAAGTAGGAATTTTTAAAACTCTGTTGTCCAACTGGACATTTCACAATGTGAGGTGTTTTTATAAGAAAGGACAGGCTTTGCTGATTATTTTCCATGCTCTGCTGTTCTTCTGGCCCTTGGCCTTACTTTCTAGATTTGAGTCTTCCTCATCACCGTCTTCCCAGGAAATTCACGGAACAAATACTTATGTGATAAGTGAAAAAGAGCATGTGATGAAGAATGCAGGCTGTGGGACAGGCATGCCCATATTTGAATCCTGGCTCTGTCACCAGCTGGTTATGTGATCCCTTCTACACCTCAGTTTCTTCCTCTGTAAAATGGGGATAATAATATCTTCTTAGCTAGATTGGTTTTAAAAAAAAGACAACAAGTAAGATCATTGTTAAGTGAGATGCTCACCCTAGTACCTGGTCCATTATAAATGCTCAACTAATGATTAAGATGACAGTATTACTACCTTGATGAATTAACTTTGGGTGCCCCCTCCACCCAGGAAGCCAGACACTTCTTCATGTCTAACCCCTTCCCTCCTGCTTCAGTTTAATGCCCACTTCCTCCGGAATTATCATCAGCTGTCTTGTTGGCATTCTGAATAGAGAGATTAACGAACTAATAGGAAATTAAGACTCAGAAAGCAATTTGCAGTTATCTAAATCAAGGCATTTTCATCTATTAGGTTCACAAGCACAGAACGGAGTTGAGCTGAGTGGTCGGATGTCAGCACAATCCACGTATTGTCTGATAACTGTGGATTCAGCTGGCACAAGTTTGCTTTTGCAGTGAGATATTGATGGGTTTCCCTGCTCTCAATCATGCGCTATCTGCATCCTTCCCCCTCAGGTCCTCACGCGGATTTCTGCACAGCTGAGGTCGAGGTCCTTGGGTACCTCTCTGCCTTTGCATTTCTTGCAGAAAAAATATACAGTAGTGATTTGAGCAGCTTATGCTCTGGAAAAAGAGAATTTAAGTTGAGATGCATTTTTTTTTCCCTACACAGGCCAAAGTGTGGAAGGGGAGGAAACAGCTCCCC